TCGCATCATCCAAGTGGATGCTGCACACTGGTGGTGGTTGAGGAGAGACCCCCCACATGATTGTAAAGCGCTTTGGGTGTACAACAATACACAATAAAGCGCTATATAAATGCATCATTCATTCATTCATTCATGCTAGAAGACAGGCCCTGATGCACTCTTAAAAATGAAAGGTTCCTCAAGGTTCAGCAAAGAAACCTCTTGTAAAGAACAGTTGTTAGTTGTATTTAGATCACTGTATTGGTTTCTTTAAAGCACCACTGCATAGAAGTTCTTCTTGACTCTAAAAACCTTTTTGGCTCTAATTCAAACCTTTATTTTCAGCTCACCTGCTTCTAGCATAGCTTCCACCCAAAAAGACTGACTTAAGACAGCTAAATGTTGCCACCGATGCTCAAAGTTGTATTTTAAGGACTGATGTTCAATTATGTAAGCAGCACACCATCTATATTTCATCATTTTCAATCATGAAATCACTTGCTCTGTCTCTCAAACCTAGACTTTAAAAGTAATTACTTAAAGTGGCAGGTCTGAGAGGTCTTCACGGTTCTCTGAGCATCTCCTGCATCAAGTGCTGTGTGTTTTCAAATGGCAGCTGTGCAAAACCTTTAATTTGTGCTTTATTTCAAAGATGCATGTCAAAGCTCCAGACAAGAGCAGTGCTTTGAAAAAAAGTGTACTGCTCGCTTGTGGGGAAGAAAGGGTAGCGATTTCTATGCAGGTGCATGTGCTGAGCAGCATTATGCACTGGTAGGCACATAAGGACAAAAGGGGAAAAACGGTTACCAAGGAAACAAGCCTCTCTCCTGAAGTGTGAAGTTTCAAAGTATTCACATCGAGGCATTTTGTACGCGCTGGCAACGCAGGGTGTTAAGTGACAGTACGCCTTATAAACATGCACCACAAAACACGTGAACACCATGAATGCTTAATGTTGGCATATTAATATGCAGGTTTTCTTGTACATATGCATTTGGCCTTGCTTTGTGTTGTGATTTTGTCAGACTCCGCTCATTGTGATTTGATTTAATTTTCCCGTGTTGGAGAACCTGCAATCGAAACCCTATTAACATTTCATTATCCGTGGGAAATAATCCCTCTACATGTGAATGTCACAGTCTGATATGAAGAGGGGATTTGTAAATTAGGTCACAATTGATACAGTTATGCCTTCGACTTTAAATAATGTATCACACGCCTCGGGGGGGCATCTTTATATAGCTGCATGGCTTTATTTACTTGTATTATAAAGTCAAATCATAGTCTGTTGCACAGAAGAATCATTAGAAATATAAAGCAAGCTTATTTAATTATGGATGTTATTATCTCAAGAATGAGTTATAAGTATTCCGTTTATGTTTTTAGATAGCGTAAAGTGTGAGTTTAGCAGTGAATGCGCTGGCAGTGGTGCGTGCTACTTCACTGTCTGAGGTGTTGTTATACTCGGATGTCTCTCGCTTGCTGGGAGCCACACAAAAGGCTGACCAAGCGACAAGGTTCTCACTGGCCTCGGTCGTGTTCAGCTCCCTAGGGACAGACCATTTACCAAAGAACAGTCTGGACTAATTAAGAGATGACACATCTCTAATATGTGTGTGTGCATGTGTGGCAATAGAAGCAGAAAAAGGAAAAGATAAGGCGATACTTAAGGTCCAGGGGATTTTGTAACATCTTAAATATGCTATCAGAAAAAAATATTTGTTTAAGTGTTAATAAATTGTAATATGTGCCATCTCAAGCTAAATTAACAATTTTTTATCTATGTAATGTAATACATATATATATATATATATGCATACATATATACATATGTATATGTATGCATGTGTGTGTGTATTTGTGTATAGAGTGTTTGCTAATACAGTTATTTGCTTATAAAAGTTGTAAATGCAGAAGTAGTGATAACGATATGTTTAGAAGAAATTCTGTATTAATACAAAGCTGGTGTTAAATAAAGTTAATAATGGCAGTATTGGATTTTTATTTATCATATCATCCTTGTGTGTGTTTTCAGGCTGGTAATGGGTTAAGAAGAAACGTTTCACTGCTGTTCTGGCTTGTCCTAGATGCCAACCGAGGACCGTGCAGACCTACATGATGTGTTTCTCATGTATGTGGTATGTCAATCTATCATTGATGACTGATCTTTCCATCTCTTTCCTTTTTTTATCGCCATAAATAGTGAGTTGGTCTAGCACTGCAAACTGCAAGTGCAGCCTAAATGCAGGAATGTGTCTCTTATATAAATATTATACATCAATACAGAGCGTGAGAAGATGGAAAACATAGTACTATTGATCACCTCTGCCTGCAACCTGTAAATTGTATGTTTTTTAGGCCAGATTGGGTAAAATAATAAAATCCAAGACAACAAACATCTTGGGATAAAGTATGCACACAGAAGTACTGTGGCATTGCACCAACCTCAGAGGGTTGCTATGGTTATAAATGTGTTTAGAAGAAATTCTGTATTGATACAAAGCTGGTGTTAAATAAAGTTAATAATGGCAGTATTGGATTTTTATTTATCATATCATCCTTGTGTGTGTTTTCAGGCTGGTAATGGGTTAAGAAGAAACGTTTCACTGCTGTTCTGGCTTGTCCTAGATGCCAACCGAGGACCGTGCAGACCTACATGATGTGTTTCTCATGTATGTGGTATGTCAATCTATCATTGATGACTGATCTTTCCATCTCTTTCCTTTTTTTATCGCCATAAATAGTGAGTTGGTCTAGCACTGCAAACTGCAAGTGCAGCCTAAATGCAGGAATGTGTCTCTTATATAAATATTATACATCAATACAGAGCGTGAGAAGATGGAAAACATAGTACTATTGATCACCTCTGCCTGCAACCTGTAAATTGTATGTTTTTTAGGCCAGATTGGGTAAAATAATAAAATCCAAGACAACAAACATCTTGGGATAAAGTATGCACACAGAAGTACTGTGGCATTGCACCAACCTCAGAGGGTTGCTATGGTTATAAATGATGTCCAATCTTTTCTTCGGAAAACTAGGACGCAGACCAAGAGCACAACTTTCGACCAGCCAAATGTTACACCAAAAATATGCTATTTAAAACGAAAAAGAGGACTGTCTGTTCTTAAACTGAGGCATAATATAGCTGCTCTATTTTTGACCGTTTTAAGCCACATCAAAAGACTTCTGTCAGGATCTAGACGATGATATATGTGGCTCCCTCAGTGAATTTTAAACTTTTTGTTATTTTTAAACCATTTTCTCATGCATGCGTTTCCTAATTATTGACGACTGCGAACAGGGAACATTTTATGGTGTTTCAAGGTTGTGCACAGTTATGTGTGACAGTTTATTTACATATTTATTTTACTCTGTAAAGGTAGATAGATAGATAGATAGATAGATAGACTGTCAGGATTATGGACCTGTTTTTCCCCAGTTTTTGTTTCAGTGTTCCCTAATTTGGTCATGTTCCTGTTCTTGTTGTCTCATTATTAGTTGATTCCCCACACCTGTCTGTCCCTCGTTAAGTTTAGTATAAATGTGTAGTCTGCCTCATGTTTCCTTGTCGGGACTTGTGCTCTGTCTCCTTGTTGGATTATTAAAGACTCTCGTTTTGTGAAATCTCCATGTCTCCTAGTTCCTCCCGTAAGCAAAGTGTGACATATACAGTAGATCGATAGATAGATATGCTTATTATATGTTTGTATTATAACAACACCCTGGCAACCACCCAGAACACCCTGGCATTTTGGCAGCAGATTTTCAGTCTTCAGTGTCATATGATCCT